CAGTTGGTGCAAGAATGTCGACCTTAGTTGATGTGAAAAAGGCCATTGAATGGGCCATCACGACCCAGCTTAGTGTAGTAGTTTTGCGCTCACGATTCAAGCTTTAAGTTAAACGACCTTCATCATTATCCATTGAGCGCTAAGTCTAATGCACAGGCACGCGCGGCGTCCGGATTGATATGGTATTTGCACTCACGTGACTATGACGTCACTATGACGTAAGCGTTGGCCGCCATGATGGTTGGTTCAAACTAGAAGTAGTAAAATTTTATTTGCATATATAACAATTTTCACATGGTCACACTATAAACACATGCAAAATGATAGTGCGTGTAAATTTTAGCCGATTAGCATAACAACATCTATGCAGTGAACAAAGTATGCTTAATCATAATGACCAGCAAGGCAGCAACGTATGTTGATGACAGAAATTGTAAATGCTAACTTTGATATATATATATGGATCAAAAGATTTGCCCTGAATGGTATTCTGATTATGAATGACATCAAAGCTCACCCGCATGATCCATAAACTATTGCCCTTTTAGGCCTCGCTCTCTTCAAAATGTAATGCAGAATATCATGCTTATTGAACATACGCATTGCTAAACTTAAGCGCAAAATCCCACAGTGTGATCAGAATGTATGCGAGAAATACAATCCGATAATTTGACTCTCATTGAAAGCAAAATCATCTCCATTTGTTATTTAGGAGATCTGCATAATTGTCATATTAGAGGCTTTGGGCACATTCATGTCACGAACCCATTAAAAACGAAATCAGTATACCTGACTGACTTTTAACAAGCCTGTTAACACATGATAGATAGTGTAGATCTATATGCATAAAGTTCCGTTTTAAAATGCGATGCACATCGTGCAAGAGGACTGAGTGGAGTGGAGTGAGTGGCATGTATACATGTAATAGAAAAATCAAGCTTTCTATTATGATGTTACGCAGCGTAGAAATTGGATGTGTTTTAGACAATATCGACAAACTACGACAAAGCTGTGAGGCAAACAAGTAAAATATTGCGGTTTTACCAAACTTGAGTTATAGAAAGTTTGTTGCAAATCCATGCCCGAAGGCTAATTGCAAGAACATTATAAAATAATGAACTGTAAAAATGATAATAATTAACGCTAGCAATGCTACTTTTTATATGTTATTGTTGGGTTTGATTTCTTTTCTTTTTTCTTTTAAACTTTTTTTGTGCTTTGTTGTCTTTTATATTACTTTTTGTTCCATAATACTGTCCGGCTGGGCCCCGGTTTGGAAATGTGATCACCTCAGCATAAGGGAGCTGCATACAGATCTCAAATCTAGTATTCTCCCATTCATAGACTCCTGTGGGAACTCAGCCAACCTTTGTTTCTCTGTAGGTTGTGGTATGCGTTTAGTGACTGTAAGAAATATGATTTTCCATTAATAAGTAAAGGTTGTCACAAACCGCAGAGAGCCCGACATTTTGCAATAATGATAAATTTTGCACGAACAAATTGCAATGCGGCTGTGGCAGAAGCACATTGTATATAAGAGCCGCTAGCCATTCATATGACTTTGTGTATTCAATATATCTTAAACATGTCAATCATTTCTTGTGATCTTTACGTCTCCATGTACACATAAAGAACCCTTGGCACCGGATAGAGGTCCACACATGTCATCCTGTAGTCAAAGCATGCTTGGGAAGAACCAAAAGGTCAAGCGGAAGAATTTGTACAAAACGGCCCCCTGCCGATTGCATTCATAAGCTGTCGGTATTCCCTAGGCTGTAGTCTGTTCTATACAATCCGTTTGACTTGCTACATATTGGGCACAGATGTTTTGGAGAAGATAATGGATTTTCTATATGGGAAGATGACAAAGTGCAACTCGTAGTTCAGATTACTGCCAACTGTTTCAGGCACGAGCTTTGTTCGCTCGGAGGCTTCTTACGGCTTCCAGGGTAAAGCGAATGAAAGGGAACAAACAATAAATCCATCAACCGGGTGTAGAAAGGAATGGAGTATGAATAACACTAACAGCAGGGTTTAATAGGAAAGACATTCATCACGTTAGTTATTATTACAAGTTGATGGACTTTTATTATTGCCAAGACACTGAGATTGCATGCTAAGCTTTATTGCCAAGAGACTGAGATTGCTAAGTTTGATCTTGGTGTGAAGTTTTACTTGCACATGGGGATAGTACAATCTACACTGCTACTAAATCTTAACACAACTGGTCATAGAACGCTTGTAAGGCTGATTTCCCAGTGGTTTAATGTGTCTTTTTTCCTAATTACTTGTTGGAAACTAATTAAAGAAAACAGCGGTGTTGTGTTATGGCTGTAGGCCGAGGAAATACTCGTAAAACGATGTAATTCATCGTTCCAAAGAACAGGGGAAGAACAACAACTGTTACATTGAACAACTGGCAGAGAAAAAAAATCGCCCTTGTCCCAGTACCCTACTTATATCGATAATGTATCGACAGTTGGTATATGGCATAACGTGCCTTTGACGCAACTGATAGCTGAAGGTTCATCACTAACAACGAATCAATGTCTATGTATACAAAAAGGTCAGACCAAAGTGAAATCTGCGACTATTTCCGTCTACCGTCGGTTCAATTTACTCCTTCAATATCGATCTGCACTACTAGTAATTCCTTGCCCCCCCCCCCCACCAGTGGTTTCTGAAAACAAATTAAAGTAATAACTTTCCCCTACTTTGATTCAACAGAAGAAGAGGACATACTTTACTGACCGGAAATATAGGGAACTCAACTAGTGATGTGATATGATGATTTCACTCGCATATCTACAACCTTTTTGATGTTAGTATCAATGAAAGACCCCTCCGGCAGGAAGCCTATCTTGACAAACGATGCAATCACAACACTGTAGTCCGACTCCCTGTCCTAATAACATTTGGACGTGCAGGATGCTTCCGTTTCGTTCATCGAGTAGCTCCCCTTATCTTTCCCGATGATTACTCTTATAGACAAATTTCCCAAGAGTTCAAACCGTAATGGTACGAAGATGAGTGGTTATTGGGAGCTTGTATACATCAGGGCTACCTAGAGGGTTCTAGAAATAGATGGTGAGGTAGCTAAGAGTGCCACTTCTGGCAAATTATCAAGTTTTTTGGGTAAGGGATTGCAGGATTTGACCTCATCGTGGTTATTCATGAGGGTTCCATCTTTACACGATGACTCTGCTTGCCAAATCTACGAGGTAGTGGAAAACGGCCAAACCAACGAAGTTCTCAAGCTGAACTTTTGTTATTGCCCACAAACGTTAGCAAATTCATTTTATACATTCTAATGAACAGGTGTATTGATTTTTCTTAATTAACTAGAATCTAATTTACAAGACTTTGTTTCGAGTGTAATAAGTGCGGCATTTGCAATGCCTGAAGTAATCTCGCTACATGAACATTTGCCAAATGTTTGTAACAGTGTTGCTTGCCAAATGTCTACAGCATGATTAAATGTTCTTCCATAATGTACTTATTATCAAAAGTACCTTATTAGAGAATATGCATTTAATAAAGTATGGAATCAATGTATATGATATGAGGTACTGGATTAATTGTATGTCACAAGAATAAAGAATAAATGAGGATTTTTTTCCAGAGCACTTCCGTACTTCGTATGGCTACCAACCATCAGTTACGTGATGACCCTTAAATATTTATCAGATGTTGTAGATGTCTAGTCAGGAATTCGTTACGATCGATCCTGTATCCTGTACCGATAGCGATGCTGCAGACTATACTGCGTTTTTAAAAACATAAATCAATTATCATTGATAGACTCGTCTCCATACAGATCATCATTGCTTCATAATCAAAGAAGATTATGACATATTACCCGATTATATTCGGAGAATGCCAACATTATGGAGTTTATAAATGATAAAAATTAAGATTAAGGATGATTTGTTCACGTAATGCAATATATTCTACAGCATGCCTCTTTAATCCAAGGTCAGTTACCCCAATCCGTTTTGCAAAATACCAAGCCAAAGTGTGTGGTCTTTAAGAGATAAAGCCCTTCACTGTAGTCAAGTCAATCAATACAGTGGATTCATTGTTACTTTACATGCAACCATGTTGTAAACGTCACCATCAGTTAATTGTTGAAATCTAGCTGGAAATTTACACTTACCAAATATGCTACTTGATAAAGTCGCATGAAATATTATCATTTCATTTTTATCATGTTTGGACGTAATCTCAACATCAGTATGTTAAACCGTGACTTTTTTGCACAAGCACTTATCCAGCATTACGTCACAATTCTTTCAGATATTTCCCATTAATATATAATGACCTTCTGTTCCCTGGAGTATACTTTAGATGGCCCAGGGAATTCCTAAAAAGGTTTTGCTGGAAGAGGTATTGCCATCGAGAGTACAACGCTCAGATGCACGTAATCATTCTTCATATAGCATTAAGAAAAAAATACATCCTTTTTGTCATGAAACATGTTCTTTATCAACACTGGTCTTCTGGAAGATGCTGATAACATTAACTGTAGCAATCTGCTTTATGTCTAAAAATAGACGATTCTTCTGATAAAATAACGTTTGAAAGGACTAAAGTATGTAGCTACTAATAAGGCTTACTCATAGCGTGAATAATCCACATTCCTGATTGCTATCTCCTTTGTATTGGATGACTGTTTCATATGTTTTTCCTTGTTCTTTGTGTGTAAGAATTTGAAATATCTTGTCCTTTCTTGATCCACTATTGTGTAAATATTCTTTAACACTTGGGTAGTTCTGTACGATCTAATATAGGCATGATATTAATGCGTCATGACATCATTTCGTGCAATAACGAACAGCTTTGTTACAGACAGCGTTTAGAGTTACACAGTTTCACGGTACAGACAACAAATCAATCCCCACAATGCAGGTAACGTTAGTTGGTGCATAGATACCTGGCAATCCATTTTATGAATGTACTTTATAACAGCATGTAAGGTAACGTTTTAGACTTGACCTTACCTGGTCCCCTGGTGACTTCCCCGCCGCTTGTCGTGATGGCTGTGACGGTGGTGGTGGTGGTGATGTTGGTGCTGCTTGTGTTTCTTTTCTTGCTCCTTCTTCTTCAAAATACGCGCTATCACCGCCGGCGAGGCTGCGGCAGCCATCTTGGATTTAATAATAGCGCAGGGAGAATCCGTTCGATGCGGTGATTATTGGGGAGGCTGTCCGATACCTGAGCGATCCTATCACAGGAGAGATCCGCGCGTCCAAACTGCTGTGACGTCGGGTTTAGGTGGATATTGTTTCCAACACGGAGTCAAGGCAAGTTCGATTAGATGGACCCAGAATCAGTCACGGAACTTAGAATACCTGTGGGAGAGAATTTAAAAAGAAAATTATTGCGATAATCAAATGTAACATTTTGTCATTTTCTACAGAAATTACACTAACATTTTGAAATAAAATATAATGAAAAAAAAAAGATTATGATTTTTTAGATAGCAAAATCTGAAGGTGGAGGTAGACCCTACAATAGGTCCCTTTCCAAGAATCATTACTGATACGCCCCTACTAACTTGTGGCCGTGCTTCAGTAATTCCAGTCGATACAGGTCTGTTATCTTCAAAGCGAAGCGACGGTAGCTTTACACTTTCCGAAATACGACCTAGATTTTAACACAGGGAAGAAAAACACCATGTGAAAGGATGTTATCAATGGGGCTTAACAGAAGAAGATGAGAAACAGTGTTTCCCAATAAGTAACAGGGTTGGTAATTACGTTGGGCGATGAACCGTAACAGTGAAAATTATACGAGAAGCTTCTAAATGTCACACTTTCAAGTTTCAGACATTTGCTAATCAATATAATTTTTTGTCAATATTGTAATACGTCCGTTGCTGCCAACTAACACATTCTAGCAACATTATTCGTAGCTCTGGGAAACTGACATCGCGCCGGGACGGAATTTGGCCGGTTTCGACTTCAATTGTCTTTCCCAAAAATGACATAGATCAGACCACCACTCCTTTTATATACTTTTCCTGTACCTCTCTAGTCAAATTCTCGCAGCATTGTAATTTGAATTCTGACCAAAGGCAAAAAAAAGTAATGATAATAATGATAATGGTTTTATCTGAACATACTTTTTAGAGACGTTTTTCAACAACTAATTTGATCTGTGCGATGACTAATTCATCTATGATCTGTGAAGAAATTCCACCGAATTGCAGCCCTAAGATTACGACCGGACTGCCCGGACCTTTCCAGTCGACAGACGCTTGAAGTAATGACAAACGACCTGCCAGGGGAAAATCTAATCCCGGGTAATCATGGATCGATAGAGCACCAGAGTCTCCGTCAATGTCCAACACCAGTTCCAGCAACAATCAGTCAAACTCTAAAGGCTAATCGAATGTCTGCAGCAGAGTGCTGGTGGAGAATCATCGCCACCAGCGTTGAAGGGCGAGGGTCGCCACGATCAAGTTCAAAGTGCCGTCACAATTTTCCAAATGACGCATGTGTCTGAGGTTTGAATCAATAATACCATAGTCCAATCCTTACCAGACGCAAACCGGCCACAGTACAGCTTTGGAACTCCCTCCCACAGGACATTGTAGCTATTAAGGACAGACACAAATTTAAGACCTGTGTTTAACCACCACCTCAGTAATATTGGACAGCGTCCCTGTGACAGCTGCTAAGATGAGACTGGTATTGCATAGATAAAAATAAAATTCTGTAAGCATGCAAACAATAAACTATTGCCATCTCCGAATAAGCCTCGTATATATATTTAGTCAATTATTGTTGCTAACGTTAAAAATTAATCTACCAGGAGCCTCGAATATATATTTAGTGAATTACTACTGCTAACGTTAATCTACCAGGAGCCTTGTATATATAGAGAGTCAATTATTGTTGCTAATGTTAAAAATCAATCTACCAGGAGGCTTGTATACATGTATATATTTAGTCAATTTCTACTGCTAACAATAATCTACCAGGAGCCTCGTATATATGTTTAGTCAATTACTGCTGCTAACGTTAGTCTACTACGTACCAGGATCTAAACCGAAATAAATATACAAGTACCTGGCAAATTGCACAACAATGCAGCGTGCACATGTGCTATAGCACACGTCAGCGGTCAGATCATGTGAGGCAAGTATTGTGTGCATCACAGGATGAAACGTCATCAAACATATGACCGGTTTATTGTCGGTTAAGAGTTGAGTAGATATGGTTGCGTAATGGTCTTTGAAATGCTCACAACGTGGTCCAGTCACGGTTTGTGTTTTGTTTTTAAATTTATGTAACAAAATACGCCACATCAGTATACTTATCGTGCAACACCTCTCTAGATATACCCCTAAAATAGTCATTTCATTGATTGGGGGGGGGGGGTGTACTTACAGCAAATCTCAGCATTCTCAGTAACAAATTGCAAAAGAGAGAACACATCATTTCTTTAAACAGGCGCCTTAGCCAGTCCTCTTATTCGGGCCTACGTATGCTTCAACGTAGTTGTTGTAAATTATTATTTAACGTTGCCTGCAGGCTTTAGCTGCACGTCTAGGATACCAGATACGTGAGATATTATATTCAATTGTTCAGATGTTTCCCCTGCGAGCACGTTGTATCTGTAGGGGCTGATTGTTAAAATTGTACGAACAAGAAGATTTTACTACCAAGTTTTAATACTACTATCACTTCACGAGCTATTATAAGTTTTCCAGTATCAAATTACTTCCGTGCGTGCAGAGTTCACACTTGTGTCCCCTGGGATAACCTCAACATAACGATCGGGAGAATTTAATATTTATCAGTCAAAGTCAACGTCATAGAACAGGAAGCGTCGTTCAGCAATCTTTTATCATGAAATATGCATGTCAATATAAATCCCTTTAGACCAGAGATTAAGATTCAACTGATATCGAGCACACAATAAACCGATTTTCCTGGAAATCAGGGTGTCAATATTTGGGATGGAGATAGGGTTGGGATGTACATACATGTATGTATAAGGCGTCGTATTGTGTAAGGAGTTGTATACGTACCTACAATGTAAAAGTCAGATTCTATGTTTTGAATGCAGTGTTGGTACACACAGATTGCTATCTATACCCTTGCGTGTACCCCCTATTGCGTAGCAAAGGTTATCACCCTAAGGTTAAACGGGACGTGAGGCATATAGTGCGTAAGGTGTTTCTGTACACTTTTCTAACATCAAGATAAGAGTGCATGTTTGACATCTTAAGTATTTGCCGGCAGCCTTTCTTCAGAGATAGATAGACACAAATTAGACTGACCTCCGTAGCGTGCAACTGGATTTTCCATAAGCTGACTGACAGGCTATGGTAACTTCTATCTGTCAGTCACGTCTATGTAAGCCGAGTTGAAGGCCAGTGCTTCCGTGAAAGCATAGATATTTATCTTGGAAGAGTGGAATATGAAAAAAAAGACATACATGACAAATGGTGGAAAACGTGTAGCATTATCGTTCAATGACTGCAGCAGTGTTCATGTCTTTGTAAATTCAATTAGACACGTTAATGTATCCAGTGTGCATGACAACTACGTGCATGTCCATGCAACAGCTACAGGCTCATTTTTTACTATCGTAACTGACGTGTAAAGTGGTGTTTTTTCTTGAAATCATCGATTTTTCATTATGTACAGCATTCACGATTCAGTCTACAGGAGTCATGACATGTGCTGCCTGGGTCATGATAGGCAGCGGGCAGTTAGAAAGCTTTTAACATAAAGTGGAGTCAAAGATCATGAACTACAGAAAGGTTATATGTTCTACAATAAAGCTGTTAGAGCCATTTAAGACGATAACATATAAGATGCCTGCAGAATGATCAGTCGGATGAGTCGTTGTTCAATCAAGGAGCCTTCAAGAAGGCTTACGTGAATATGACAGATACTATTCAAAGCTCTCTGGTTCAATGCCCGAAAGCAAAACTTTGTTGCTTCATCGTCGCGCAGTGAAAAAGCATTTTCCTCTTCGTCATAACTTTGACTCTTATTCGAGAAGTAAACCACGGGTAATGTGCCTAAACTTTTAGCCGTTTGCACATCAGAAAAGAGCGAAGCGCACTCGCCAGAAAATGGCTAAATTCCAAAAGCCCTCAAAGCCCTCGAATTTGAACTAAAAGCTACACTGAACGACTGCCAAATGGTGCACTGCATCATATGAAATGTCGAAGTAACGGTTTCCAATAGCTATTTGGAATGCTTTTACAGCATCAGAAAAGACTAGCTGACGGCATTTCGGAGCCAAAAGAACGACAGAGATGAAATAACAAGGCTGCTTCAAAAACTCCGCTTATGACGTGAGCAACAGGAGCCTTTTTGTCACGAGGCCAAAAGTGGTAAATGCTTTGCTATTGCCGCAAATGCAAAATGCCACGGAGTTAGTGAGTTGGAACGACCAGGTCACAAATTATTGCTCCGTGAAGGTCGAAAGTACATGTTCTCTGGTTTAGAAATGCAATGGAGGACGTTGAATCTAATAGTGCATTTATGTATGGTTTCCAGCAATTGGCTTGACTTTTCGGGCATGAGTACGCTGGTACACATATCAAATGAGCTATCGCTAAATGGAAAATATCGTATTACGATGGATGATTAATTTTCAACATATGATGTCCGATACCATCTTAATGGGTAAAGTTCAGAGAATGGAGGATAATTTTAATCTGACAATCCGCCAAATCATATTCACATGACAGCAAACTACTGCAAAATGTTTTTTTCAGTTTGGAAATTTACAAACTCGGCCAAAAGTAGACATGGCTTGTCCACTTCACCCTACGTTCTGTATAATCATTGCGTTTTTTTTATCTGACAGTAAATACCGTACAATAACAATCCTACCTTTCTTTGAAACAAAAGGCAGTAATTTGTTTTCGAGCAGGTTTTATAATTATCACTGTTAGTTTCAAAATCTTTCTATTAAACGTAATCTTCCCAGTATTCACCTCACATGAAAGAAGTCAGTACAAGTGTTTCTTTGATAACGATTAGCAGTACTCAGTACGGCTACCCTATGGACTAGCCCTTCCCGGAAAATTGCAAGGTAATTGAACGCGGCAACAGCATGGGCGTCAAAGGCTTTAGCAAACGGCTCTTGATTGATGACGAAAATCCACAGAAATACAGTTAAATGTGGGGCATGTTTGTGTGTTATGTGTAATGGCAGGTCTTGAATCACTTTCATTTTACCCAACCGTGTTGTAACAGTGTTATGTCCTCAAGCTTCTAGGGTTGCACGGGCAGCGCCATCATCTATCAAATGTCTTCTATAAACTATGACAGTTGAGCCACCCTGCAGTATGCAGCATTCAATGTCAAAGGACGTCTCAGGAAAGGATTCAACAGAACGTTTCAGCACTGGATATAAGCTTAAAAAGCACTCTCCCCTAGGATTATGGAATACGACAAGGTACTTGTTTTCCATTACGGCCTGAGATCTCTTCAAAGAAAATCAATGAAGGGTGAATATTCTTAAATGTCAATGGGGTTCGGGTCACAATGTTCATCGTGCGTGAACGATGCACGTACAATAGCCCGTAACCTCTGTTCGGTTGTGTCATCCCTGGCAACAGTCTGACATCGTGTGTCTTGAATGCCAAAACTATTACATTACATTGGAGAAATCATTCACACGCTAAGATTTAAAGCGAAATAGCATTGGTAATACTAACAATTTAGCTCATTGGTGCTAATGATAAAATATCTATTAAAATATGAATATAATGGAAAATAAGTACTCAATTGTATCAACTCTATTCGTAAAGAGACGTAAAATATCTACGCAGTGTATAATTCAATCAATACAATATCAAACAAAAATTATGGATATTCGAGTGTCGCACCTTGGCTTGAGCAATCACTGAAAGGTTAAAGAACTGTAAAGAAGCATAATTATGTGCGAAAATGAGGAGAACGTTAACTAGGATAAAGTAAATGTACTTACCACAAGAGGCAATGCTGTGTGAGTTGGCACTGATTTTACGCCAGTTCACTGGATAACGTTAACACCGAAGAATCTTTCTCTGCATATGCACTGCACCGAACAACAGGAATCCGCTGCGGTACGTTTACAACTGCGGGAGGCCTGAGCAATAATGTTATCGTATATCATTGTGCCGGAAATAGATTTATGGCATCGGAGACAACAGAACCGCTGGATACACAGACGTCACAGATACGTATCAACTATTTATCAACCTTATCACATGGTGGTCTCACGATTTGCAAAAAGCATTCGAACAATGCAGGTATATGGTTGTCAAGCAAGCGAAGTTGACACGTACACAAAAGGTTGGTACTCTTCAGGGATAGGGTGCGTTGGAAGGACTGTGCGTACACGTATTGATGACACATGGTCATTCGTGGTGATTTCCTCGTCAGGTGCTTACGTGTCATTCAATGTCGTCAGGATGGATTTGGTGAAATGGACGTCGTTTATACGAGTATGCCGGTACGCAAAGAGTGTAATCATTGTCATGCCATAATCAACATCGACGTTATGTTATGTGTTTTATGAATCATATATGAAAAGCTAATAACATGAAGTTTCACATGATTTCACTA